AATGGCTACTTTGGATTTTTAATCTGATTTTATTTCTTTGCACTGAATTTGTATATTAGTGAACTGACTGAGAGTTTTCATTCAGGTTCTTTGCGACATCTTAAAAACTGGAGGTCTTCCTGGAAGAAATGTTGGACCACAACCACATCTGTATTTTGCCAATGATGACCTTGAATACCAGGTTGGTTGTTGTTTTCTGTAGGTAATTTCTGAAGGAAGATATAGAGATTACTTGGAATCCTTTTAAAATGCCATATCACTATACTTACTGACAAGGTCCCAAAAAAGCTAGACTGCTTTTCCTTCTGAACGTCTGGGCTTGGGAGCTTTCAGGATTGCACTGGAATCCATCTTCAACAGGTAAGACTGCCTATTATCTAACCACTGTTGTGTGTCCAATATATAGATAGAGAGGGTGTGAAGCTGCTTAAGCACAATATCAAAACTGCAGCCAAATATAATTGCCTTAATTTCTTACCAAGGAATGCTCTCCTTGCAGGATTCACCATCATCCCCTGGAATATGCATCTTTTGGTAAACCACATCCATCTGTTTTCAAGAATGCTGAAATTGTGATACAACAACTTGTGCCACAGATTCATGGCGATCCTTATAATAATGCTCAAAATTTAAAAACACTTTATATGATTGGAGATAATCCTGTAGTTGATATCAGAGGTGCAAGACAGGTATGCCTCAGGGAGTTAGATTTCACAAACATGATACATTAAGTTATCTGCTGAAAAATGATGATATTAATGCAAATACTGCATTTCAGACTGGGCATCCTTGGTTTTCTATTCTCACGAGAACTGGGGTTTTCAAGGGGAAGGGAAATCATGACAAATTTCCAGCAGACCTGGTAAGTCCGTTTACGTTCCTCTAGAAAAGTGTCATATGTAGTTATACCTTTTCCTCTCTCCTTTTTAATCTCTTTGAAATCTCCTTTCCAATAGCAGATACCAAGATGGGAACAAGTAGTATCCCAATCAAAACTAAAATTGGTTAACAATCTGAGTCAAACAGAAAGTAAAGGATGTACAATGTTTTCATTTTGGTTTTGATTTCTTTTTGTTTTGAGGGCTTTTTACCTTTTTGAAAAATTGATGGAAGACTAATCATCATGACACACTTACATTTAGCCACCATAGCCATGGATACAACTTACATCACAGTCTGCATTGAATTGTCCAAAATGTGTTCTCTGAAATTTATGGAGGAGTTATGATTAAGGCAACACCACCAGCTACTTGGTGATCTAAAACTTGCAATTTTGTGTCTGAAATTCTGCAGGTTGTTGACACTGTAGAAGAGGCTGTGGACTACATCTTAACAAAGGAATGTGCTTCATAGGTCTCATCTTCTTTACATGGCCAAGGCTCAGATTATTCCTGGTAAGGGTTCTAAAAATTTGAAGTTTGAAAGTTAAAATGTGATTCTTTGATCAATTGAAGGATGTAATAATTTATGGCGAAATCCTCCCATTCATTTGAAGCATAAGTGGCATAATGATACACTTGGTGAAAATTGAAATTGTTTTTTTTGTTTATCCAATTTCCTAATGTTTGGTTGCATTATTTATGGACTGAGTTTGTAGTTGGGGTACTTGGTAGGCTTCTTAAAGCCTCACTACACTTTCTTGGTCTGAATTTTACAATGAAATCCCTCAGCCCCCACTTCAAAGTGTGCCACTCAAAATATTATACTTTATCCAATTTATTTTAATTTAATATAATTAATAAAATAATAAAATATATACTTATATCATGAGATAAGTTATCTCATCCATCCATAGAATTACGATGGGTCTTTTTCAACCCTTTCTATAAAACATATTTCTAATAATTAAAAAATATATGACAAATGACTTATCTCCTGACATGAAAATATATTTTATTATCGTAAAAAATAATAAAACAAATGACTTATGGTTCAATGGTTTTCTTTTACAATCATGCCAAATTGACAAAATTTCAGCAGTTAAATAATTTATTTACATGATAATATATTAAATTAAATTGTTCTTAAAAATGATGACTATTGAATGAGAGGTAAATGGATGAAAACTGTAGAAAGAGATAATTCTAAGATGAATCACTGGAATGTGAATTAATTTTTCTCATTTTATAATTTTTTATGTTTATTTTGAATTTTTTTCACTTTTTATTTTGTTTTCTTCAAAATTATGTTGTGATTGAGAAAAAGATAATTTCTTATAAAAACAAAGGAGCTAAACCAATGACCGGAACCTAATGTGACTTAATGTCAAATTGGCTTGGGCAAGAGAATTGACCAGAACAATCTCGATCCAATTTAATTCTGTTTGGATGATTATATATTGAACCTAGACCACCTCCAAAAAAATTAGTCCATCATCTAACATTCGTTTGTATTACTTCTTTAAATAATTAATAACGATTAAACATAAATAATGGACGATTACATTTATAACAAAGATGCATTAACAATGAACACAGACATAATTTCACGTAACACCAAAACATAGAAATCATACATAGAAGTTGAGTTTCTAAAATGAGTATACAATATAAAATTTGAGTAATAATTATGTAACAATATAGATATTTTACACATTTAGTACATCATTTAATTGTATTACTTTTTTCTGAAGAGTCACTGATGATTGAACATGAATAGTGAATAATGTAATGATAGTGTATCAAACTCATATGTTATCAGTATACACATATTTTCTCATAAAAGTTTAGATGTTCTCATATATCATTCATTAATCAACAAGACATTGATGTAGTAGTATAAGACCCACTTAATCCCTAAATGACAAAAAGGGTCCACCAATGTTCGATTCATGTGACCGACATTTATTAGCAAGGGTAACTACACACCCTCAGAGATTAGTTCCTTACCTATTAGTTGGTGGAATACCTTTGATTATACAAAAAATATCATTCATCATTCATGTACATTCCTCTTAATTTAATTATTATTAAATTATGAATAATAAAAGATATAGTGTTGGAATAAAAAGCTTTACTCTCAATATACTACCCATTTTCTCATACAATTGGTGACTTAAAAAAGTTATAAATATTGGGGACTTTGGAGATTACTAACTATTCAGACACACACAAATGGGGTACTTAACAGTGACATAAAAATGCCAGATAAAATGCATGACTCACTCCACACACAATTAAAAATATAATACCAACAGTCCTGAAATCCAAATCCCCAATGTTTAGAATTTGATAACTTGCTTAGGCTGGCTCCCAAGTTTTCCTACAGCTTTATCCAATGCTGTATTGAAATCCTCAAAGGGAGCCAGTTCCATCCTGCAAACAGTGTCACTCATTAATTCAAAACAGATACAATATGACAAAATTAAAATTTAAGTTTCATGACCAATTAATAATCATCATTGAATATACCCCCCTTATATTTTTTAATTAAATCATTTCATGGATAGAAGACATACTTGTATTTTAACTTTCCATCTTTCACAAGAGCCAAAAGCCTGTCTATCATTTCTCTGCTCTCTTCGGCTTTATCCTTTCCCAACCATTTTTGCAACCAGAATCCCCTCAAAGAAAGTTCCTGCAAACATGTGGTTCTAGATTATGGTTACATTTTAAGAAACTAGAGCAACATCTTACTCTAGTAACTAGTAAGCAGATAGGAACACGCCCCAGAATAAGTTGTGAACTATGATTTTAAAGAGATCCACCACAAATAAGATATGGAATAAAGGGGTATCAAGCCTCATGGTCTAAAATGACTATTTAGTCTTTGCCTATTTACCCACTCATTTTCTATTTGAAATATTAAGTTCCAGAGATGCCATACATCACTTGAACAAATAGCTATGAAACTATTTGTAAAGCCATCCTAAGAGTGGCATACATCACTTTAACAAATAAAATCTTATAAGCTCAAAAGTATCCAGTGGATGGATAACTATGTTGATTAAACATGATCTATATGCCCTGCGGAGTGCGGACTATAGAGAGAACTTGCAGAGACTTATAATTTATTTGTTCCATCTCTGTATACTACAAAATAACATCTTGTTCTTGAACAGCATTAAGCTTATAAACTCAAACTATGGGCCTGTGTGAAGGCTCGTGAACTCAAAAATATGGGCCTAGAGTCCAAGACTACTTTTTACTAGTATGGCATCATTTATACCCAACTTCAGCACATTTAGACAGCATAAAATATATCATAAATTTCACAGGAGACTTGTCGATTATCTTAAAAACTTCATGACATAATACCTGCTTCCTTAATTTCAACTACTTCCAAATTCCATGTAGAGCCCTGTGAAAACTACTCACACAGAAAGTAACCACTTTTAGTGGCAATTTTAATTTAGCTCGACTTTATAATGACACAATTGATATCTTTATGCTTCATGTGAATTATTGCTAACCAAGATATATAGTAATCAGTTAGATGAGGTCGTGAGGGATGACAATGATTGGAAGTTATGGCCTGACCTTAAATATGAAGGATGAAGTTGATACTGTCACAGGTTTTTTAGACATTCCACCATATGTCACCATAGTTCCTCCTTGTCTGCAATGCAAAAACTACATTTCAATATATTTAAGAATGATATATAATGACGGAAGGGGAGTTTTTTACCTAATATTTCATGCCATACCTCAAAAATTTGAGAACTAAAGAAGCAGCATTGCCACCAACACAGTTAAAACCCAGAACAGGTTCAGGTATATCACCCTAGCACATCAATTTGATTAAATAAGTTATTCATATCCGAGATAGATAATAACTCCTAAAACAATTGTGTTTGCCACAACCAATAGAAATGAGATTTGTCAGGTTCCCTAGTGTTTCAGAAAGGCACATTCAAAACTTAAAAATAATAAAGGTAGAATTATATCCACATTAGGCTTCCCAAATGCTCAACCAATGAATCATCCACATTCATCTGAAAAATCGACATCCATCCCATAGCATAGACCACAACAACAATTACAAGTAAAAGTATACCAGGAGACTCTTGACATTCTTCACTTCCAGTTCTTTCTCGGTAAAAACTTCATCCGCACCCAAATTCTTAAGTCTTTCTTTTACTTCATCAACCTCAGCCCTGCCAGTAGAAGAATTTGCAGTGCATAATTAAGATTCTTCATAAAGATATAATTGAGATGGAAGCACAAGAAAAGGGAATAGGAGAATGTTAATCATTTTTATTTTAAAGAAACAGACAAAAAAATGTTATAATAAACAAACTATAATCTAAAATAATATTTAGAAGCTCATAAAACATGACAGGAACATTCAAAGGAGCACCTGTCTCTTATAATGTTTATGTTACGAATGCCACGAGATTTTGCAATCTGAATGACACACTGCCCAACCATGCTTGTGGCCCCATTTTGCACAATAGTATCTCCTGTTGATACCCAGAATTACTAAGTTCAAACAGGCACAAACGAATGCACTCATGAACAAAAAAAACATTACAGGAGTTGTAGCAAAAGGCTGTGCCTGAGTTCAAAGTAATGCAGTCCTCAAGCATAAGGAGAGCAGTCAATGGATTAACTGTAATTGTAGCAGCATATTCCATAGGTACACCCTTGTCTACTTTGTGCCATACATTATGGTCTTTGACAATGTATGTCTGCCATGTCCCTGTGCCAGAGTAAAATCAAACATAATAACAATGGCAGGTTAGGAAGTATCAACACTTCAAATGGTTATCATATTAATATAGAATACATATTGCATCAGATACATCTAGCTAACATATTACTGTTTCGAAGTTTCGTATTAACACAACAGCAGAGGTAAGGTACCATAACGATTACAGAAATGTCTAGAAGAACTAAAGCCGAATTACAAAACATTGATATCTTTATTTTAATTTAGGATGTGTTTTAATGATAGAGGATGAGACTCAGCTCAACGATAAGCTAGCATGTCCTGTGGTTCAAGTCTCTTCACTTGAGAGCAAGTGTAACACTGCACGCATCTACCCTCCCCGGACTAATAGGTGATAGCCTGGTTCATTGGACCGCCCATGCGTTTTAACGATAATTTGGGGTCATTTTTTTTCTATTTTTTTGTCTTTAAGCATGCATCTCTATCCTCAAGCCATGGATGGTGGTTAAGTAAAACCTCTCCAAAGTTGAAATTACAGGATTCAAAGCCTGGTCTCACATTACATAATTTTTCAAACAAAAAATCTTACCAATTGAACTGTCATTCCATTCTATTCTATTCCAACTACATTTAATTCATTCACTTCCATCAATCAATCCAAACATAGAATCAATTTAGTTAAGCAAATAATAAGAACAATATTGTTAGTGCAACAGAAGTGATCGTTGCGCAGCATTAGCCACAAACAATCAAATAAAGTGAATAGAATAAATATCAGAGAAAAAACAAAAGAATTTGGTAACAAGGTTCGACCAATTGTGCCTACGTCCCGGTAGAGTTGAGCGGAGCAGCTACCAAGATATTATCGGAGAATACGGATTACAAGCTCTATTTGATGCACATCATAACGAGGATTGAGTCCAATATATAACATTGACTACTCTAATCTATTTCAATACTAGACAATGTGGACTAATACAATAACATATCTTAAGCATCCGACAAATGTAGCGAATAATAATGAAATAATAAAACGTAAAAATGAGAAGAAGAAAAAAGACTAACCAAAAGAAGGTGGAGAAGGAATAACCCAATCACCAGGAGATAAAGTATTCACAGAAGAACCGACAGAATAAACTTCTCCAACACCTTCGTATCCACCAACCGCTGGTGGTTCTGGCCGCACTGGATAAACACCTTCTATCCTATTTATATCTGATGGATTTATAGGCGCTGCTAACATTTTTACACACACTTCATTCTCTTTCACTTCAATTCCTGGAACTGAAACTAACTTCGTCACCGCCTTAGGTTCACCGTGTGTTGAATATATTATTGCCTTCGACGGCGGTGATATGGTCACGGCGGCGGAGAATGCTCGTGTTACGGATTTGAATTTGATGAAAGGTAATGATTTCTGAACTCTCAAATATGACGTCATTATTCTCATCGCTGTTTGTGTTACTCTGTCTCGTGATGTTTATGCGGTTGCACATTTAAAACGACATCGTTTCCCTGAAATATCTACGGTACTTAATAAAACCAAAATCCATTTGTGTTTCCCTGATAATCTTTTATGTAGTTTTACATTTAAAACGACGTCGTTTGCCTGGAAAACCATCAGATATGAGCCAACATTTTTTAATTATGTCCAAAATGATGAGCAGATTAAATAATTAATATAATATCATATATATTTTTAAATAAAATATGTCTAAATATAAATAATGGGTTACAAAAGTAATGAATAGTTATTAAAACTATTTCGTGTCGGCCAGTTGAGCTGGTAAACCGGTGAATCGGTCTCAATACTGATACGATACAATAATTGTACTGGTCATGCAATTATACCGGTAAAAACTGGCCAAAATTGATAAAACCGGTCATACCGGCCAGTTTTCAATTGAATCGTATCCGTTATACCGATCGATTTTTATTTAAAATTAATTTTTTAATGAAAATAAAAATAATTATTGTTTTTATTGATTTTTCAAACATTAATGTTAATATATTATATATGTATATCTAAATTTACCGATATGCGATTTAATTAGTGAACCATCGGTTAAACCACTATATAATTGTACCAGTATCTCTACCGATTTAATGACTGATATAATATTAATAAACTGATTTAACATCTATATTAAGTCTTAACTAATAATTTTTAAAATGAATAACCCAACATTAAAGACAGACTTATAATTGTCTTAGTTGTCTAGCAGTAATTAATGCAACGCTGTTGCTCCTTGTAGATAATATATGTACAGTATTAAAATGAGTATATAAAATAATATTTATTACGATTGAAAAACAAGTATATTCAAGATTCTATCCTTAATTTTTAGTTTAAAGTTTATGTTAATGTTATATCACTAACTTTTGATGACGAATATAATCATGCATGCCATGTAGTGTGTGTCTGTGGTTATGTTTATGGTTTAATGTTTATGTGGTTATTAATATTGAGCCATCTTCCTTTCTCTAAATGCATCCTAACACACTAACAAATTGGTGGATAATTAATTGATCCACTTAATTATTAAAATGGTTGCAATTGTATTTGAGCTGGAACTCCGCATAAAACATCAACCAAACAATTATAATATAATGTTGTTGTTATGTTAGGTCTATTAGTTGGGATCATGTTAAGGTGAGAGAAGGAACTTGTACTATTTGCTATGAGTTAATCATTTGTCCCAAAACGGTGTCCACAACTATGTCTCAGTCAATTAGAGAATAAAAATGAAAAGTTACAGGAATATATATTTTTTAGATGACGTGACACAATGTTATTGACTGAAATAAGTTTAAAACACTATTTTGAGACAGTAATCCCCTTAACCTCCATATGCTATATATGCTAGGGTGAACCCAAGTTTTTTTAATGTATATCTTTCTCTGTCTTTCATGGAAGACAAATATTTTCATAAAATTATGCACTTATGGATATAGTTTAACAAATCTGTAAATGATATAAATTTTTTATATAACTTTACTTCATTTAATTTATATTAAAAACTAAATTAAAAAATAAGAAATTTTTATTGGAAAAAATAATAAATAAAGATATAGTTAAAATATGATGTATAAATATATAATGAATCTCTTAAAGATCAAATTACTTCAAACAAGGTATAAAAATTAAAATATCTATTGGTTACTAATTAACTTGGTTGAAATATAGTGGGTGGGACCTCACTTATTCGTCTAAAGATTTATATATCATTCATTTGTATTTTTTTTTAACAATGATGATTAAAAGTATTGATAGATTAACAATATATAAAACTTTTAAATTTTGAAAACATATATTTTTTCTCATACATTAATTATTAATAAGAAAAATACAATCTTAACACATATTTTAGTCTAATATGAGAAGGAGTAAATAGAATGTCTCTAATAAGAGATAAATTATTATATAGTTCATCTCAACCATATCTCAGCAATTTACTCAAATTTAAATTATTACAATGTCATTAATAATAATTTGGTTGATATATGATTAGGATCAATGTCATTAATAATAGAGCTTCTAAATATTATTGTTGTTATGTTGGAGGAATATTTGTAGTAGTCGTAACTATGTGTTTGCAAGCCCAGCTGGAACCACCTCTAATTTTGAATTTGTTGAACTACTTTACGCATCACTGTTCTAACAAACCAATAAACAAGAATTTGTAAGTGCGATACGTGTTCTTTTAAAATTAAATTACAATATTCTTGGTAGTGTGGGTAATAATGAAATGAACAAACTTTAAATTACTCCTAGACTTTATTCATTAGTATTGGGTCATATGCGTTATAATATATGTACCGTATTAGTTAGAGGTCTAGTTCACCAGTTTTCCGGTTTAATCGGTCGATACGGTACAGTTTTTATAACATTACATCCTATAGATAAATAATTAATAATTTTTAGGATGTGTGACCACTCTTTTCAACAAATGTTGCTTTCAAATATTAAACATTTTATATTTTATCATCTTTAAAATCTTATATTAATAGGGTAACACTTTTGTTGGTAGTTACTTCCCCCTTTCACCCATACACCCATAGAATATATTGAGTTTAATATTTATTTATGACCAAAAGACATATATACCGTAATGTAATAATTTTTTACACTATTACTACTTCACTTATCATTCATATATTAGTAATTATTGAATTTTAAATAAAAATAATAGATATAGTACATGATGTATTAACAATATATAAATATATACAATTATAACACATAGATATTACATTGTTTATTCATTAATAACATAATATTTACTGTTTATCATTTATATTAATTAACACTCTTATAACAGTATAAATATTAAACTAATGTAATCTTTTATATTTGACTGGAGCATAATTGAAGGAACACTTGTTCTAAAAAAAATATGCCAATCAATATAAGAGTTGTTTTGGTTAATTGAAAAATATGTATTTAAATTTAGAATTTTATATTTAATTATTTTTCTTAGTTATTACAACTATGCCATATAAAGTGACTCACATTTATGGGGAAAATAAATGTATTAACTAAGGAGGGCGAGTGGCACTGGCGCGTGGTACAGAAGAAAAAGATGTTTTTGCAAAGCAGCTCTTACCGAAACCGTTAAATTACACCGATGCACGATTGTCTAAATACCGAGTAACAGAAAAGTTTACCATGTGATTATAACTCACATACGAAATTACATAAAAGCCCTTCACTCTCTCTCGTGCAACCTTCTCATTGGTTCACTCATAATATGTATATATATATATATTAAAGCAACGTAGAATCATTAAAAAAAGAATAATAGTCGTAGAAGACTCTTTTCTCTTTCTCTCTCTCCCTTCATTTTCTTTCTCCCTTTTCTAACAGTGTGACACTGTTTTTGGCGTGTTTTTTGTTTTCATGTTTTGGGTTGAGACAGACACATAAACAAAAGACAAAAAAAAAACATGGGTTGCTTTGGTTGCGCGGGAAAATCTAGCAAAAAATCCG